AAAAAAAAAAAAAAATTAAATCAACATTCCACAAAGGTGAGCCATGGGGTTAGAGCTCTTCCAAATTAGTAACTGAAACATCTTGCCAAGTGAAAAGAAACCACATAGTTATAACACAGAAGAATTCTGTTTTTTTTTTTTTTTTTTCTTTAAGCATGTATCTTGGTTCCAAATTTCTAAAGCATGAATTAGTTTATATAAATATTTGAATTCATGACTAATTAATGGAGAAGATAGGCTTTATCAAGGGAGACATTTTACTCTTGGTTTTATCTGTGTGATACTATTTGAAAAAGAAAGAATTTTTTTTTCAAACCGCACTTTGGGAGAATCCACGGGGAATGTGCTCAGACGATGCCTCCAGTAGAGGGCATGGCAGATTCAACTGGAAACCTAGGCTTTGTTTATCGGCCAACCTCACGCTGAGGCTTCCCCTGCAGACTTTTACAACCCACGACATTGCTGCTTCCACCACCGCAAAATGGAAACTCTGTGTCATCTTACCGTTTAGCAATCCTATTTACCTAAAAGCCAACTGTAACAACAACAAATTCTAAAGGGAAGTCGCCAGACGGGAAGCTTTTACTTTAAATATGTAAGCCAGTCTCTAAAGCACCTTAACGCGGGCATTTGTTTTCGGTGGAGACAGAATTCACGGCCCCCTAGGTACTAAGCAAGCACTCTGCCTTGCTATATTCCCTCCCTGCCCAACGTCGAAACTTCTCAAGGAAAAGGTTTCTGTCTGAAGTAGGTCCTGTCTAAACTCTCAAAATCACCTGTGGTTGTAAACTCACACAAATTTATCAAGCAACCACTTTCCAGGGAGAAAAAAATAATTTTGTGACTTAGTATCAATTGTCAGTCTGAAAAGGTTTGTGAAAACAAACTACTTGTATTAAGTGCAAACATCATCTAAGACAGTCTATCCACCGGTTGTAGGTAGGTACATGGATATTCACTTCTGTTAACGTAAAAACAGGACAGAGCTTTTCTGCCTTCAAGATCTTGAAGAGGTTAAATATGAACTATTTTGCTTATTTTCCATTTTCATTTTTTTGTTATCCAGTCAGCCATTTATCATAAGTTTGACACTACAAGGCTGCATAGTCTTGATAATTCACAGAATTCACACCTTTAGAACCTAATTGATTTTTAAATTAATCCTCATGATTTTTCTATCCTGAAAAGCTGGCTTTAGATTGCCTCGTTTACATGCGAAAATTAATGCATTTTGTTGACCTTACGAAAGGTCTTACGTGTAAGATTTGCATAGTATCTCATGAGTCTGGCCAGTAAAAAAAGTCACAGTCCTGCTTTTAGATGTGAGAAACTAGGGCTCCAGCAGGGGTAAAGTGGCTGTCTCAACAGATCCTTAGCAACTACTGGTTAAACACGGACTCTGCTTGCACCTGTTGACAGATAAAAGTTTCCAGGGACAACTGAACTATAAGGGAACATCCATGTTTATGATTTTTAAGACCCAGGGTTGCACGTGAAAAATAATTCATGTTTTGTATTGTCGAGAAGGATCAAATATGTCTGCACATTACACATATTTTAATAGCAACACTATTTCTAGTATACATGCTTAGTAAATAAGTATTAAATCATCAGAAATTAAAATAGATGTAGGCACCATGCAGTTCTTTTGGGTTTATTAAAAATTCCATCTTACAGATTCATAAACATGCTTTCAAGCATTTGTTACTAAAATTGAAATGATATTCCTCTTGTAATAAAGGTTATACCTATTTTCTTCCTTAGTGACTGCAGACTTTGTTCTCCAACCCAAACCTGGAGCTCAACTACCCGCAGCTTGTGGCAATGTGTTGCCTGATTCTCCGTTTTAAGAATGTGCCTTCATTTTCCTTTTAGCAGGTCTAGCGTGAAACAGAATGACCAGAGCCAAAACCGTACCTTTTTGTTAAGTCTGTCTGCTCAGACTTTATAGGAAACCCACTTAGGTATTCCGCCGCACCATTCTGGTAACATGGGAAGCTGAATCAGATTGTAGTTGAAGTCATGTGTTAGTTCTTAAAAATCAGGTCGTACTGAAACCTGCGAATAGAGATGGGTTTCTGAGGAAATCACAAATGAAGCTTGCCCGAACTGTTTACATCTCCCGACTCCCACCCCTTAATTTAAGCAGTTCGACATCTGCTAAATTCTGAGCCTGTTCAACAGACTCATGAGGAAATCCTGATTCCTTCCTTACACTCTGAAAACTACAAACGATCCGGGTGCAGCAGAACTGGATCTTGGGTTTCCCTTTGTGTTTCTCACTATCACTCAGATCTGCGCTGGCCCTTCAGGTCTCCTGGGGAACGACCCTGTGACGGAGCAGCCTGCTGCAGCCATGCATTTAAAGGTTTAAAAAAAAAAAAATGCAGAGCCTTTTAAAACAGCAGGTTTTAATAGGCACTTTCTCCCGCTTCCTCCCCGGGCAGAGTGCATTCCCTTTAAGAAATTCCAAGACGCCCGAGCAAGCGAGCCGCAGCATCTTAGCACCTAGCCCTGCGTCCCACGGTTCAGGTTTCCCTGCTCCTTCATTTCCGTTTCCTAAACAGGTGGAGGGGCTGAGTGGAGCCGGCAGGGCTCTCCCCATCCTGGCTGCAGTTTTTTAAATAGGTGTCCGGATGAGCCGTAAAGATTGTGAACAACAGGTAGGTTGCAAAGGTGGGGCGGAAAAAAAAAAAAAAAGGAAAAGGCACGGCCGGGAGGGGTGCCACGAAAGCGGGCGCCCTCCACCGCGGCTGTGGCCGCCGGAGCAGCAGCACGGCGACCAGGCTCTGTCCCCGCCCGCCGCCTCCCACCCCGTGTGCGCACGAGGCTGCGGCGCCTACGTCAGCAGCGCCCTGGTTTCCAGACCCTTCGGGGCGGCCGTGACTGCCGCAGGCCCGCGCGGCCCCGCCCTCGTACCCTCCTCAGCGGGCCAATCCGCGCCCCCCAGAGGCGTGGCCAGCGCCTCCAGGTCCCGCCCCTTCTCGCAGCCCGCCTTAAAAGCCAGCGGAGCCGGCCCCTCCGCAAACAGCTGCGGAGGTCGCGCGAGTCTGAGTATGCAAAGTGCCATGTTCCTGGCTGTCCAGCACGACTGCGTACCCATGGACAAGAGCGCAGGCAACGGCCCCAAGGTCGAGGAGAAGCGGGAGAAAATGAAGCGGACGCTGTGAGTATGCCCTCCCTCCCTGAGAGTTCTTTGTACCCTGCCTGGCTTTGCTGCTAGGAACCTACTTACCTTAAGCAAACTCTAGTCTCCAACCTCTGCCGAGAAAGGGAAAAAAAAGAAAGAAGGAAGTTAGCGTGCCAAATCCGGCGGTGTGTGCTTTTTCTGTGTGAGCTCAGAGAGTTTAGGGACCGTGGGAAATGGTTTTGAAGGCGGCAGTAGATGGACTGAGAAGGCGCTGCTTGGCTTTTTCTGTTCTGCATTTAATGTGATATCAGAATCCTGCAGCTGAATAGCGTGCACAGAGCCTATACATTGCATTGTTAGTTCTGAGTTGCTTGTACAGCTGCTGGGTGGAGATGTTTGAGCTGAATGTATGCGATCCCGCTTTTAAATCATAAAGCAGGTCTCAGCCTGTCACGACCGACCATGGAATGAGTAATTTGCTCTGCAGTATCTGCTGCAGAGGAGCACTAGTAGGCGGTCGTGGAGAGGAGCTAAAGAATCCATCACGCATACACACACACACACACACACACACACACACACACACACCCCTCTATGCACTGCCTCTGGTGTGGGCCAACCCTATTGCCTCGAGCTCGGAAAGAGAAGGGAAATCAGCTTGCTCAAGACACTTCCACTGCTGTTCTCAGTCATAAAAATTTCACCGCCTTGGAGTTAGCCATGCAGAAAAATCTATGCTTGTGAAAATGTAAAATACCCAAGCTGTGTTACGAAGTCCCATCCCGCTTGTAAAACTCGTCATAGTCAGATGAGCGGATAGAACTATGTTCAATCATGAGGTGCTGGGTTTAAATTGCCTGTCTGATCTGTGAGTAGCTACTGCAACTGATGATAACTTTACTATTCAAGAATTGCCGTCTGACGTATTTTTCTTCTCTTCCCCCCCCCGCCCTCCCCCAGCTTAAAGGATTGGAAGACCCGTTTGAGCTACTTCTTGCAAAATTCCTCCACTCCTGGGAAACCCAAAACTGGCAAGAAAAGCAAACAGCAAACTTTTATCAAGTAAGTTGTGAACTGTGGTAGTTACAGAGATGATTATCTAGCCAAGCCACTGAACAGGAAAGGGGAACTGTCATGTGTGGTATAGCTCATGTGCGGAACTTCTCTTTCAGGCCTTCTCCTGAGGAAGCTCAGCTCTGGGCAGAAGCATTTGATGAACTGCTGGCCAGTAAATGTAAGTTAGCCTCGTGAATGTGCTCTCTTACCAGTGTCTCAAGGGCCTAGAAATGATGTGTTCACACCACAAATAAGCAGCTTGCAGGAAGTGCTTTAGACATTACCACTATTTACAGCATAAAGACCGTTTTGTTTTGTTGCTTTTTCTTTTTTTTCCTTTATTTCACCAAGTTTAATCATGGAAAAGCATGAGGTATTCACCTCAGGTGGTTCCCCACCTGAGCCTAAAAATTAAAGTGACAGTTATTCATAGTTATGATTGAGTCAGCTTTTCCATTGCATAGAATGTTTTCAAAAACTCTAGTTCCTAGTGAACTTAATGGCTGTCCTATAAAAATATTTGTTTTGCGTTGACAGTGAAGTTAAGTATATTGTTGTTGCAGAATACAAGCTAAAGCATTTTTGCCTACTGGCATCTTAGTACTTAGAGAGCTAAATTCTGAGGATGACAGGTTGAGTGAAATCTAGGAAACTGATCATTCTGATCAATGTGCTATTTGGTCACTCAATTCACATTCTACATGCTTCTTCTCTTGTGCTTTCAGATGGGCTTGCTGCATTCAGGGCATTTTTAAAATCTGAGTTCTGTGAAGAAAACATTGAATTCTGGTTGGCTTGTGAAGATTTCAAAAAAACCAAATCACCCCAAAAACTCTCCTCAAAAGCAAGAAAAATATACACCGACTTCATAGAAAAGGAAGCTCCCAAGGAGGTAAGAAAACAAGTTATTCCTATTAGCATTAATTTCAACATCTTCAACCACACTGGGGAAACACGAGAATTAAATGCACGAAATTAAAGTGCAAGTGGGAAGGCCGGGTATGGCTGTTCACCCCATCCTAACATTTAACCTCCAAAACTGACAGTTATAGCTGATCACAAATTATGCCTTTTATGTTTTATTATTAAGCGTCGATTTGTAGTGTTGAATACCAAATAAATCAAGTTTTGTTTTGTTCTTCCAGATAAACATAGACTTTCAAACAAAAACTCTGATTGCCCAAAATATCCAAGAGGCTACGAGTGGCTGCTTTACAACAGCTCAGAGGAGGGTTTACAGCTTGATGGAGAACAATTCTTATCCCCGTTTCCTGGAGTCAGAATTCTACCAGGACTTGTGTAAAAAGCCACAGATCACCATGGAGCCCCATGCTACATGAGACAAGGAGCCCCAACAAAGGACATTTCATTCTGTCTCCCAAGAGGAAAGGCTGTGACCCTGCCAAAAGACTGACCTCGAATTCAGCCTGAGTGTTAGGAAAACATCGCTCAGAACTATTGATTCAAAGTTCGGTAGTGAATCAGGAAGCCAGCAACCTAGGAGAAGCTCTGTGTGAGAACAGCTTCCCTTGCTGTGTGAAGAACAGAGGAAGGGAACAGTGTTCTGAATGTGCTGTCCCTAACTGGGAAAAAGCAAGGGTGGGAGGTGAAAGATACAATGGAATGTTGTTGGTCCAAACATTTAAAATCAATAGGTCTGGGATTATGTGGCCTTAGCTAGCTGGCTGTAGACCCTCCCCTAATCCAGTCCATGTTTTAGTTCTAGTTTTAATATTCCAGTACTATTAACATTAACATGTTTACTGTGTGCAAGGGTGTTGAAGTTCTTAGGACTACAGATCATTAGTGAATTGTGTCCTGTATCACTGAAACTGAGAAGTATGTTTGCATTGTTAGCTGGTGTGTGCGAGGGAATGAGTGCTGTTCTGTAGAAAACCAGTGTCTGTTCTGAGTGCCAAAACTGTCTTGTGGGCAGCTAAACTTTGAAGCGGTTTTTGAATACTTTCAATAAATTTATTTTGATAAATAATGTCATTGAACATTTGGAAGTCCAGATGTGATTTTGTTCTGTTTGATTTCAGTAACTGGAAATATGTCAGATAAAACAAACTTGCTGGTAAAGAGATAAGGGCATGGATGAGCATGGCTTAATTACTGTACCTGTCCACTGAAAACTGACAGCCCTGAAAAGTGAGAAATGATTGCTTTAAGATGTTTGCTTCAAAACTATACACACATTCCCAGGACCACTCATTGTGAAAGTCAAACGTGTTATTTAATAAAAGAAGAAAAAAAAAAAAGAAAAAAGAACATTGACCTGTGTGTTAAGGAACAGCTAAAAATGAGTACTAAGAGACCATGGTGGAAAAAAAGAATCAAAGTTACTCACATGGCCAAGCAGCCTAAGAGAAGAAAGAAGTTTAGGTAAATGTGAACCTGCCTGCCTGTTATAGTCTAGGGTCCAGACACCTGGCATGGGCAAGACACATACCTGACTAATTGTTTCTTCTGTGATGGGTCAATACAAAAATCTCAGAGTTTCCCTGCATCTCCTGCCTTCATCTGGCTAATAATCTGTGTTACTCTAGGTGACACTGAGGAGAAAGCAAGTGTGTTGCTGAGGCTAAATGCAGAAATGTATTTTCCCTGAGAAAGACCTTCATTCTGCCTACTTTAGAGGAATTCCCTTTGTGAAACAAAGTTTCTATCTCTGGGATGGTTTTAGCAAAGGAGAGGGCACAGGAGCCTCCCTCTGCTTGAAATTGGAAGACCTGAGTCCAAATAATGATATCCCATAGCTTCGTGACCCTTAGAACACCCATTTTTTTTGCCCTGGTTCCTCATTGATTCCTCTTTTGCTTATCTCCTTGATGCTATACACAATAAAGGGTGTTTTAAAGTAGTTTAGAAATGTGAAACACTGAAAGATGCCTTTATTCTTTTTCTTACTTTCCAAGGGAAAATGGCCTATATTGTTTCAGATGCTGTTTCTTCGGACCACCCTAACTCCCATCTTTAACCAGATATCTAGAACAAACACAAGTACAGGAGGGGCAACTTTGCTTCTTTCTGTATCCCAGCAGCCTGAATGGCATATAACAGATACAGAATAACTTCTGGTTGCACCAAGTCCTAGCTGCTTCACCTCACACCCTGTCCAGCTCTTCCTCAGTCCCCGCTCTGGTGGAAGATGCCACCGTGACTGCAGCAGTTAACCCACCTCCCTCTGCTTAGCATCTCCTACACCTAGTATTTCCTTCTTAACTCGGGATCCTTTCACACAAACCTGACCTTGTTTCCTGTCACTTCTGAGCCCCTGACAGGTCTCCTAAACATTAAGACGAAAGCAGCATCCCTAATATAGCCTAAGCCTGCAGGGCTGACTTCCTCTTACCTCCCAACCTTGTACACAATTCCCTGCATCAGCCTCACTGCCCTTCTTTCCTTCCGTTTTGCTTGAAGATGCTATGCCCCTCTGCCCCAGGGACTCTTTCCACCTAATAGTTCCTCTCTGCACAGAGTAATTTTAGCTCTTACCACTCACCTATCGATGCGATTGCCACTTCCCCGGGGAAGTGGTCTCTGACCTCCTTCACTAGACCACATTCCTTTGCAGATGTCACAGCATCCGGTTCTGCAATTCAGGGTACTTAATAGAGTTATTTTTCTTTACTTTTCATAATTATTTATTATTTTATATTTTCCACTTAGATTATGAAAAGCGCAAGTGAAGATCTTGTGCTTCTTTTCTACTCTCTGCTGATTCCCAGCACCTGATATACAATGTAAAATTTACTAGGGATTTTCTTTTTTGGTTGTTATTTTGTTTGATTGTTTATTTGTTTGCTTGTTTATTTAAAGAAGATATCAGATTAGGATTCCCAATCTGGTCCTAAATTTTTAGGCTAAAATAATTCTCCTGTCCCAGGCTCCAGAGTAGATGGGACTGCAGGCATATTTCATTGTACCCAGATTTTTTAAAGGGGAAAGACTTGAAAAGTTCACTGGCTCAAGTGGCTGTAAGTATTTTCAGAACTTTTTCATTTGATAATCAATCAATAAATATTTTTAACTAGGCACATTCCCCATGGCATTTGACTTCTGGTAGAAAGAAAGGCCAATAACAAACATAATAAATAAATCAAAAGTTTTGACGTGCAGAGCTCCTGAAAGCATAAGCTTTGTTGAGATGGCATTTTCCATGTCCTCTTGGTGGAACAAATTGAAACAGATTTCAGATTAGAAACCGCATACCTCCACAAGTAAGTATAACTCACTGTTCCAGTTTTCCACAGTTCAGACACTTAGGACCCACAGGCCATCTATTTTGATAATTTTCATTGTGAATGTATTTTAATGGCAAGGATGTTTCAAAGTATAGTCATTTCACAGTCAGACTGAAGTAAATAGAAAGTTGTTTTTATTTGTCATGTGAGCAGTGTTGTCACAAATGATTTCAATGAAATCATCTAAATTTTAATAGGAAAGACAGGTGGGTACTTTTGTGTTGTTTGATCATTGTATTTGATCATTTGGAGCCAGAGAGTGAGAAGAGACAGAGGCTGTGAACTTCCATCAGGAGAAGAGCCATGAATGAAAACACAGTGAATGCAAACAATGTGGACGATGCGGAGCTTGCCCTATGCTGAGCACCATTTCCCTGAATTAGCCTGAAATGGCAGCTGAAGAGTTGTTCTGAGTGATAGAGAGCATCACCGACACTGGAAGGTAAACTTTGACAGGTCTGGCTCAGATGCTTTTTGACGTATGTAGTCCCTTAGTCAATGGCACCCGGACGAGTCTTCGGGACTTGTTGGTAATTCTTGGCTAAGGAGCAGCTTGGAGTTACTCAATGTGATGATAACAACCTAGAAGTTCTTCTTTGACCTACCAGATAAAAGAGTCAGTCTAAGGCCACAGCATGAAATAAAAGAAGGCCTGGCTTTAACCATTTCTGATCCATGGTGCAGCATGGGAACCTACCAATGTTAAGGGTAGGGTGCAAACTATAGCGCAGGAGGTGGAGGGCCTTGAATACTAAAGGTTAAGATTTTATTATGAGAACATCAGACACCAAACTCAACTAAAAGTTACGGAAATAACTCAAAAGGCAATATGAAGATTGAAAATATGGAAGTTTGGCAGTCAGTTAAGAGATTGTAGTCTTAGGTAAGATGTGAAAATTCCATCTGTCTACACCAGAACATTAGCAAATAATTCCATTTAGCTTATATTAAATTATGTACTTATCTATTCTGTGCAAAGCACTGATATAAGCCACAAGGCAATTTCCCTGTTCTCTCAGTGGCACCAATTAAGTAAATGATGAAATAAATATAAAACCAAAATTACAGCCAAGTATGGTGACATGGTTAATACTAGCACTTAATATGATGACAGAGGAGGATCAAGAGTTCAATTGTTTGAAATGAAGAAAGGGGGGAGAAATAAAGAGAGAGAGAGAAAGGGAGGAAGGAAGGAAGGAAGGAAGGAAGGAAGGAAGGAAGGAAGGAAGGAAGGAAAGGAGGAAGAGAGGGAAGGTGGGAGGAAAGAAGGAAGGAAAAAGGGAAGAAAGGAGGGAGAAAAGGAAGGAATGAAGAAAAGGGAGCATTTTTGGTTTAAATAATGAGAAGTATTTCATAAATAGAGATGATAATAGTCAGGAAGGAGGAATCATCTGAAAGAGGCACAGCAGAATTCCATCTTAATTTTATGATGGTAATTTGGAAGATGGGTATTTTAAAAGGATATATATTTGAAATTTACTGTTATTATTATTTTATATAATTGGTTTGTTTCTCAGTTTCTCTCTTAACCCAGCTATCACACAAATAACTGAGACTCTTTTATATTTGTTTAATAATAAGCTTCACAACACAGTAACTGAGCAGTTATTACTCTATTCTTAATTCTCTAAGCAAATCTGGTTTCCTTCCAGTGTACATCCCAGAGATTCTTGCACTTGGTAGCTTTCTTTCTCCAGCTCCTAATCTGATGTCACCTGGACCTCTGCCAGTGGCTCATTCTCCTATTTTCTCTTCTTACTCCTCCTCCTGGGGCTGGCAGCAAGTCCAGCCTTATTCTCTACCCTGTTTATTGATTGGATGTAAGCTGCTTTATCGATATACCATGGGACAACTGGACAATTGAGGAGCAGTGTTTATACAACTTTGAGATAGGAGATTCTCAGAACAAGAATTGCAACCAGGTATGGGGGGTACAGAAATCAGCACTTGAATTACACAATAACCTTATACCTACAATTTATTGTTGATTTTATTTTTGGCAAATATTTGTGAAGGGTTTGTGAGTCTAGAAAATGCACAAGAAGTAGATGAGATGACCCTCTGTTGTGAAAGACAGATAAAAAGCAGAACTCGGTTGCTGCATTTCACTTCCCTTTTTAAAGTTTTTTATACATTTAAATTAAAATAGAATTATGTAATTTTCCTCCTTCCTCTGCAGCCTCTCTCAGGTACCCTCCCTTCAACCTTTTCTATTAACCCTGGACCAAACTTTCAAATGGATAGCCTCTTTTTCTTTAATTATTATTGTTGCATATCAGATATGTGTTTATATATGTGTACAAACATAAAAACAATATGCTGACTCTGTTTCTGTTGTTTATGTGTGTACAGTCTCACGGCTGACCACTTTGTATCAGCTATGTCATAAAGAGAGGCCAGGCTAGTTCCCTGAGAGAGGCTAATTTTCCCTCTCCCAAAAGTATTAGCTGTCTGTAGTTCTTTGCCTAGGGATATGGGACCTGTGGAATCTATCCTCTTCCCTGTATTTTGATATATCAATTGTCCCAGTTTTGTTCATGCAGCCATTTCTAGGGGAGACTGTTTAACCTAAGACCTCCTGGTATTCTGGCTCTTACAATTTTTCCAATATGTTCCTGAGCCATAAATACAGGAGCTGGGATAGAGATGATCCATTGATCTCTGCATTGTGTCCACTGCAGTTTTCTGTGATGGTCCCTACTTGCTGCGAAAAGCTTTTATGATGAAAGTGTTAGCTACTCTCTGTGAATATAAG